AAAGCCCATCAGAATCACAGCAGACTTCTCAACACAAACCCACAAGCAAGAAGAGCCTAGAGTGATACATTTCAAGCCCTAAAGGAAAGCATCCTCCTACCCAGATTGATGTAACCTTCAAAACTATCTTTCAAAATTGAATGAGAAATAAGATATTTTCATGACAAAGAGCACCTTAGGAACATCATGAAAACGAAACCAGCACTCCAAAAAATTTTAGACAATATCCTGGAAAAAGACAACAAGGAACAAAACCCCAGGAAGCAAAGCAGAATGAATCCACTGGGAAAAACAACAAATTAAACACAAAGGGGGAGAATCTAACAGAAACAAAAAGTCATGACAATGATGTCAATATGTATCAGTTATAACTATCAATGTTAATGGTCTCAATTCACCAATCAAAACAAACAGAGTGGAAGAATGGGTCAAGAAGCAAGATTCAACAATATGCTGCATACAAGAAACACACTTAATTCAAAAGGAAATTCATAGACTGAAAGATAAAGGGTGGTAAACAATACTCCATGTGACAGGAACCTGAAAAAAGCAAGAATAGCTGTCCTCTGCAGATCAAGTGGATTTCAAACCAAAACTGATTAAAAGAGACAAAGATACTGCATCCTTGTAAAGGGAACAATCCAAGAGGAAGAGATGACAATCATTAACATATATGCACCAAACACTAGTGCACCCAACTATATAGAATAAACACTAACGGACATGAAAAATCATATAAACACCAATACAATAGTAGTGGGGGACCTTAATACCCCACTCACAAGTAGATAGATCAGCTAGACAAAAAATAAGCAGCAAAATACTAGAAATCAATCAAACTCTCGAACCAATGAACTTAACAGATGGTTTTTTTTTTTAACTTAACAGATGTTTACAGAGTGTTTCACCCCACAAAATCAGAATGCACATTTTTTTCAGCTGCACACGGGTCGTTCTCCAAAATAGACCACATACCCGCTCATAGAACATGCTTAAGTAAGTGCAAAGGAACTGAAGTTATCCCCTGTATATTATCAGACCATGGTGTGATGAAATTGGAGATTCATAGCAAAAGAAACAGCAAGAATTTCATAAACACATGGAAACTGCACAACACACTTCTGAATAACCAATGGGTCACAGAGGAAATTAAAGAAGAAAGCAAAGCAGACAGTTCCTACAATTAAATGACAATAACAATACAACACAGTGGAATCTATGGGACACAATGAAAGCAATTTTATGAGGGAAATTCATAGCAGTAAATGCTCATATTAGGAAAACAGAGCGAGCCCAATTAAACAACCTGATGCTGAACATAAAGCTTCTAGAAAAAGAAGAGCAAGACAAACCCAAAGCTCATACAAAAGAAGAAATTATAAAGATCAGAGAGTAAATCAATGCAATGGA